ACATTTTACTTGTATATTTACCTGAGGCTGGGCGTGGTATTAAGCAATGCTCTTTACACATCTAACCTTACAGTAAGCCTGAGGTGGATACTGTTACTCTCCCCATTTTATAGATGAGGAAACAAATTCAGAGAGGTTGCCTTACCCAGTGTCATCTAAGATAATAAATGGCACAACCTGGATTTCAACATGTGTTCATGGACTTTACCATAGTCTACTACATTTTACTTAACTTACATTAGCAAAAGTTTACTAGAACGCAGGTAAGAATTCCACCAAACTTCTGTCTCGCATCTGTCTAGCTAGAGGTTTGTGATCAGTTGCTGGCATCTCATTTTTAGAAAATCCTTTTAAAATAGAAAAAATTCCTGGGATGGCAAGAAGGATGCTGTGTTATCTAGATACCTCTTCATATTAGAAACATTTGAAAAAATTGGCAGAAGGGTTGGCTTAGAGACTTGAGGACTTGGGGAACATATAGTATCTGGTCTCCAATGCTTGAAGAGCTTTCATAGGTAAGGAAATTAAACTTCACATTTTTAACATCCAAAGTCATTCTTTTTTTAAAAAATATATTTTATTGATTTTTTTACAGAGAGGAAGGGAGAGAGATAGAGAGTTAGAAACATCGATGAGAGAGAAACATCGATCAGCTGCCTCCTGCACATCTCCCACCGGGGATGTGCCCGCAACCCAGGTACATGCCCTTGACCGGAATCGAACCTGGGACCTTTCAGTCTGCAGGCCGACGCTCTATCCACTGAGCCAAACCGGTTTTGGCCCAAAGTCATTCTTATGACACATGACTGAAAGTTATATGTATTATCAAAACATGGGCTCATTGTGTGGTCATATTCTCTTCCAGGTAGCACTTAGAAGCCCTTTATGCATGGGATGAAATTTCGCCTGCTCCTTTTTAATGTTGAGGTGACTTTTATTTTTTCAAACTGCAAAACACATAGTTCAACTTGATTTCATAGTGAAATCATTCAGAAGCTCCTATCTGCATGATTGCAGCTGAAATAGACTAAACAAAAAAAAAAATGCAGTCAGTACAAATTGCTGTGGGTTATCTATACGGCTACAGCATGTGGTGAGAACCTGGAAGCTGCATCCACAGAATTTATGAGGCTTCCCGTAAATCAGCTCGGTTCAGTGTTTCAGACCCTGTATCCAGCTCTGCTTGGCTGTCTAGACACAGCCTGAGATGAAGCTTCAAAAAATGGGTATAAATGAAGCAGCCAAAGCCACCAGAAGTCTTTGACCCTCTTCTAATGTTTCAACCAGATAATTCTTTTCCCTCTCAAGAATTTGGCTATCCTTTGAGGGGAAAAAAAAAATCAAGTTTTTCCATGTGAAGAGCCCCTGAAAGAAAATACTCTGGAGAAAGGTCAGTGAGAAAGGGCCAAAGCTGGATTCTTCAGATCTGCTTAGAGAATGTGGAAAGTCTGTACCCTTTCTGCTGTGTGTGCTGTCCAGCTGGCCAGGGGTCTGTGGCCTTTGGCCAGCTTTGCCCTCCCTGTACCTTTACATCTTAAAGGAACTTGTGCTGTGCAGTGGAAATGCCTTGAATGGAAACCTAAATGGTAGCTAAACGCTCTGGTACAGAGGTAATTACAGAGTTAAAAACTGATGGATTTTCATTTTGTCATGATAATATATTGTAAGATAATCCATTACCCTTTCTGCTCTGTAGCGGAGATAGGATCTTTCAGACTTTCCAAAAATAAAACTTTCGTACTTAGAGAGCACACTTTCATTAAATAGGCCCCACTTTTCATTAAAATGACAAATTCTGTTTGTTGTGGTTCATCTCCTTAAACTTTTTTTATCTTATGTTTTCTGTAGAAAGTTAAGGATTCAATCAGAAATGAAAAAGGTGGTTTTAAAAATAAACATAGTCCAAGTTAATTCCATAGTTCTTTTGTTCATTCATTCATTTAGCAAGTTTTTGTTTTAAGGAAGCCACAGCCTGTGGTAGGCCCAGGTTGTGCCATTTGTTAGCTATGTGATCCTGGGAAAGTCACCTATCTAATCCCCCTGAATCTCAGTTTCTTCAGCTGACAAAAGGCTCTCTTACCAACTTTGCAGGATTGCTATGAAGATTAAATGAGATGATTTTTTTAAGATGGTGAAAAATTAGAAGGTCTTCTTTTGCTCTTCACCCTCCATTGTCATATCCGAGAAATCTTGGCAACAGAGAGGGAGAGTCTCAAAAGCCCTAGAAATGTCAGTCAGCTTTTTACAAAACTCATGGAGTGAACTAGGTTGAAATTCTATAAGTGACTGGTGCATACTTTACCTTGAGTAAGGAAAATGAGCTAAACAGGAAGACAACAAAAAGAAACTTCTATAGTTCCTCACTGAATCAGTGTGAGAAATGTGGATATGGCGCCCACCAGAAACCCAGATAGCAACTTTATTTGGGACCAATTCAAAGTATAAACCCAAGTAATAATTACAAATGGGAAAGTCCAGGTGCAAAATGCCTGATAATAAATATTTATTCAAGTTAAATATAGAGTTCCAGCTAAGTAATTGCTTAAGTGGAACAACAGTGAGTGCGAAAGTATTAAAAGAAAAAGATAAAAAGAGACCCTTAAAGAGATGTGAAAACAAGAATTCAGAAATAATCTTCTAGGTCGGTATTTCTAGATAGATTAGCAATTATCATGAGATAAAGTAGAGGAAAATAAAAAGCTTCTCAATTCTTTAGTAAGTCAAGAATTATTGTTTTGTTTCTGAATTTCATATATATAACAATGAACTAAAGAATTATTTAGAAAACTTAAAAATAATCATTTGCTGTAGAACTGAGACTGCTAAAAAATATATATATAGAAGCCAAAAAGGTAATTTACTTCTCACCCTACACAAAGGAAACAGTAAAGAGTATTATAAAATGTTTTCAAAATGACAAAACTAAATCCAAGTATATAGCTATGGCAAAAAATAAACATGATTAAAACATCCCAACTCTCCTGGGGAATAGAATGATGGGCATAAAAATGATACAGTCTTTGCCCTCATGTTTTTTATGGGCTAGTTGGGAAGACATTATCAAAATCAATACATAAGTAAATGAGAAAGAAAAAGAAACATAATATCAAAATCACCTACTGTGATCAGTGCTGCGAAGGAAAGGGAAATATGAAATAGAAGCATTTATGAAAGAGGAGCTGACCTGCAGGGGTGTCAGGGAAGTAGTGTCTGAGGATGTGATGACGGAGCTGAGATTCCCAGGCAAGATTGGAGTTAACTGTGTAACAAGGGGAGGCAAGAGAGCTGCAGGCAGAGAGAGCAGTATTTTCAGAGAACTTGGGAGCAAGCATGGCCCATTGGAGAAGGTAAAAGTCGGCCAGTGTGGCTGCAGCAGAGAGGAGGAGAGCTGAGTGTGAGAAGAAGCTGAAGAAGAAGGAGGTGTTGGGCCAGACCACACAGGGCTCTGTAAGCAGGCAGCATAGGGAGTGAGGCCTTTTTCTAAACCCAGGTAGCTATTAGCGTGTTTTACAGAGGGATGAAAATACCTACTCACATTTTCAGGACATGATGAGGATTCAGTGAGAACAGATTTGATGCTTGGAGACCACTGAGGAGGTGATAATACGATGGTCGTCAATATACCGGCAATAAAAATTTAGGTGGTAAAATTGGAGAGGAGTATGAAAGAGTGGAAGGTGGCTAAGATACCCCCCAAAATCTCTGATTACACTGCTGCTCTGTGAAATGGGAACACCAGTGGGCAATTCAATCATACATGTCAACGGCCTTTGAGATACTCAAGTGGAGAAGTCTGTAGGCAGCATGAATCTGGTGCAGGTCTGGAAAGGAGATACAAGTGTATGAACCATCTGGGTTCAGGTGTAAATTGAGTCTTGCAGGCATGAATGAAAAAGAAGAAGAAGAGAAAAAGATTGTTAATCTTATACACTGCTAGTATCTGTCTAAATTGGGGTATATTTTTTCTGGAAAGGTGATTGAAATGCATATCAATATCTTAAAAAATGACCATAACTTTGATCCTGTAACTCCATTTCTAGGAATCTATTCTCAGAAAATAATAATCAATGTGACAAAGGCTTATGGATAAAAATATTCATTTAAGCATTATTTATTATTGCAAAAAAAATAGAAAATTACCTGTCTAATATTAGGAGGAGATTAAGTAAATTACCATATATTTATAATAATTAATATTGTCATTATAATTGGATGTTTATAAAGATATAATTGCATAAGTAGATGACTGTGATATAATAGTAACTGACAAAGATCACCAAGTTGATAGAAATGGAGATAAAAACTTAACTGTGTGAAAAATGCAGAGAACAAGAGTATAAGAAATAAGTTTATCTGTAAACAGTGAAAACAGGATGATTGTCCCAATTTTTACTTTTATCTAGTTCCCAGATTTTTTTAATGGGCATTTATTATATCTTTTGTCTTTTTTTTATTATTAGGAAAAGGAATATAAAATTATAGTATTGCCACAGTTACAAATATTCACTTGATAGACACTGGTTAACTTTCTCTCCTTTTCACAATATTGATCATTTCTGTGTTGTTAAATCTAGCATAGTATCTTTGGTATGTAAGATTACCGCTCTGCAATGTAAACTTCTATGAGTCACTCAGACTTGTAAAATAGTCTCAGAAAATTAATCTGATTACCAGGCAACAGCAAATGCTTCCCCCTCAGAGCACCTCTCCTCCATGGGCACCCATTTCATCCCATTGGGAGTGTTAGGATTTTTTTTAACTTCTTGCTCAGCAGTACAAATGACTGAATTCTTTAATGGCAAGCTTTTTAAAAAATTATAGAATACATACATATAGGAATTCGCTAATTATTTTAAATAAAACGAATTGGTCTGTGTTTTTTCCTTCCAGGGACTGAGCCAACCATTTGGTCTGCCATTTGTATCACTGTCTGCAGTAATAGAAAAAAATCATTCTGAATTTGGTTCAGAACTAAAAGCATGGTCTTTTTTTAACTCCAGGAATGTATACAAAGACTATCGCTTCCTTGAGCTGGCCTGTGATTCGCAGGAGGACGTGGACAGCTGGAAGGCCTCTCTGCTAAGGGCTGGCGTCTATCCCGACAAATCTTTAGTAAGTGGGAGAAGTCTCTTACTTTTAACTTATTAACCGTTTTTAAGAAAACAGAATTCTACATGTTATATTTTAGAGAAACTAGTTCTCCTTTGACCTAATTTGGCACAGTTTTAAGCAATACTTTGCTTATATTTTTCTCCACTAGATTTCTATTTTAAGAAGTTTATCGGTATATTTAGACTGAAAGAAAATGCCCCACTCTACCATAAAACATAATATATATATAACCTCAGACCAGGAGATAGTTTCTTTGTTGTAACTTAAAATTTTATTTTCCTTTATATGATACTCCACAGTTGTTATGGTATTAATACAAGCAGTTTATAGCATTCTTCATATCATCATAGCATATATATATATACATATATATGTATATATAATTAATCATGACACTCTTTTATATTCTTAAAAATGTACTTATTTTTATAAAAAGCTACCTCTTTTATTATGTCTGTAGTACCTGTTCCAAAATTATATCTGTTCAAACTCTGGTTAATGTTACTGTGAGTGTGAAGAAACAAAAAAATATATAGCTATTCCCACTTATCTTTATTAATATACTTCAAGTGTCTTGAAGACACTTTTCTCATTCAAGCTAATAAACAGACCTTCTATTTGTGTTCTTTGGAAAATGTAATATTATACAGACAGGTCTGGATTTCAGCTTTGCAGAAGTCCAACCCAACACACATCCACACACTGTTAAACAGACTCTGCACATGAGCGGCCCTCACGGCTTCCTCGCTGTTCCCCACACGGCACTGTACTATCCAGTGCCCCCCAGGACTAAAGTGCTGAGACTTAGCCTTGGGGACTGAGTCCAGCTTGACCACCTGGGTGCTTCCTGGGCTCTATACCAGTTTTTAGGACTGGTCACACAAAGGTAGGGATATTTCCAGGCCCCAAATAGGACAGAGTGAGTCTGAGATATGGGCGCAGTGTGGGACCATTGAAGGCATTCTGGGGACATTCCGACCTGACCACGTCCCTGAGGTTACACTGGAATGTAACGAAGTTCTGGGACCAAGGATTGAGGATTTGTGCCAAAATGTTCTTACTGCTGTTACCTTAGCTCACACGTACACCTCTTAACCCCATTCCAACCTCTTTTGTCTGGTTAGCACCTAAAATGATGAACCCACACAATATCTCCTTGCACTCTAAATGGGGTGACACCAGACCAGGGGTGGGCAAACATTTTGACTCAAGGGCCACATGGGTTCTTAAACTGGACCGGAGGGCCGGAACAAAAGCATGGATGGAGTGTTTGTGTGAACTAATATAAATTCAAAGTAAACATCATTACATAAAAGGGTACGGTCTTTTTTTTTTTAGTTTTATTCATTTCAAACGGGCCGGATCCGGCCCGTGGGCCGTAGTTTGCCCACGGCTGCACCAGACCCTTTCCCGATGATGCCAGGCAGAGAGATGTAGATATATGATTTTCATAGTTATCCAGCTTTGACCAGTTGTGTACACACATACTTGCCTAGATAACTACCATTCTAAAGACCAACGTGAGAAAGCATTGAAAAAAAATTATTATTCATTCTGATCATTATTTATTACTCTTCCCTACCTATTAATGGTAGCGTGTTTAATTTCACAAGCATTCTATATTAAAAATGTATGAACATTCTAGGTTAATTTCATATTCATTCATTTCATAAAAGCCTATTGAGCACGTGCTTTTTTCCAGGCATCCAATCTAGGCACCAGGGCACAGAGGTGAGCAGTGAGGTCCCGCCCCCAAGGAATAGACAGTAATCAAGGCAGTGAATAACCGCATAACTGTAGTGTGATGTAAGAGAGCGATAAGCTCTATAAAAATACAGTAGGTTAAAGGGATAGCCAGTGCTATGAGGGCAGGTGAGCTTTATTTTAGGAAAGGTGATCAGGGGAGCCCCTTGGGAAGAG